TCGACTAGGAGATACCCTGAACCCTCCAAGCTGATATTCTAATCAGTCTGGACTTCTTTTATGCACACATACATACACATGCACTTATAAGCACGTGCTCTGCTGACTGCGCAGTTAGCAGCGACTGCGCTTGGGCTGCGCTGCAATGTGGGCAATAATATGAGAATTTATTTGTTGAATAATTTCTTTTGTAGACATACGATCTTAATGAAACTTTCAGAGCGTAATCATATGGTTAAAATATGTGTACATTCCAAAGCACAAGTCTCTAGTACTTGAAAAGTACTAGTACTAGTACTTTTACAAATTGGGGGAGAAGGGGGCGTGGTATCCAAAATCTGCAAATTACAAAATCTTTGTATCCACTAACTTTATATACAACCCAAATATGAAGTCTCCAGGTCTAAAAGTGTTAAAATTATGCTGAAAAAACCAAGTCGATTTTTCGATTATTCTCGATAAAAAAGTTATCGGACGAGTTATCGAAAAAATAAAGCAAACTTGTACTGCCTATGGTATACACGAGTATGCATGCCAAATTTCAGCTCTCTAGCTCTTATATCTTCTGAGATTCTTTTGCTCATACGGACGGACGGACGGACAGACGGACAGGGCTATATCGACTCAGCTCGTCGTGCTGATCAAGAATATATATACTTTATGGGGTCTGCGATGATTCCTTCTGCCTGTTACATACTTTTCACAAAACCATTATACCCTGATTTCCCATTTTCAATGGGTTCAGGGTATAAAAAAAAAGAAAACGAGTATTGCGGCAGCAACAACAGCTCGTAAACACTTTGCGGTTGTGTTCTTGCTGCTGTAGGCTTGCAGCAAATCCCGGCCGGAACACGCAATGCACGAGGCCTACCTGGTTGCCATTAGCGCCGGCTCGGGTGCCTATGTGTTGTCTATAATTATGCATGTTGCAGCTCAAAGGCGCGACGCATAAAACAAGCGCCAGACAAAGACAACTGGGACTCTACGGAACGGCATGGCACGGAACGGCACATACATATACACGCATGTGTGCACCTCCGAGGCAGTGGCTCCCGCGGGTCTCCATTTGCTTTGTTGGCCGTCTGCCACGACGCCTTAATTATGCGCCATCTGCAACAGCAACAACTGCCACATGACAAACAATCGCTTGTTGCTGGCTGGCCCGTGGAAGGAAGGCGAATGTCTGAGGCAACGCCTCGGCCGATTGATTTACGGCTGCTTTAAGCCACTTTTCAGACGGAATTAAAATTTTATTTTCATAAAGTTGCAAATTACGCTTACTTTTTAGTATTCAGATCTGGAGTAATGCTTTAACAGGTCTATAAAGTACGTGTGTTTTCTTTTATTTCCTTGGGTGCGGAATATTTAACCCAGCTGGGGTCATAGACCCCATAATGCTCTTAAGATTATTTTATATTTCTCCTATAAATTGTAAAAATAGTGTATGGAAATGAAGTGAAATTAAATGAAAATGATATTAAAATGAATGGCATGAAGTCAGATTGCTTTACTTATTTATTAATGAAAATACATTTACAAATAAATACATTTATTTATTAATTAATTTCTTTACATGTTTATTTATTTATTTACTAGCTGGCCCGGCAAACGTTGCATTGCCCTCTATATTATTTCTAGGTAAAMAATTGHTRAAAGCTATGTTGTTCAGGCTGGGATACACTGATAAATTTATTAATCGGATTTTCATTCAAGCMCCTTGTTGTAAACGACATTCTTCGTTTTTTGGTCGGGTGCAAGAACAAATAATGCGGATCGTTTGCCAACACGTGAGCATGCCACGTACAATTGACCATGAGAAAAACACGCATTTTCTAGATTGAGGCCACAAATAGTCAAAGATTGGCCCTGTGACTTGTTGATCGTCATGGCGAAGGCAAGACGAAGCGGGAATTGAATTCGTTTAAATTCAAAGGGCATATCTGTTGNTATTTATTATTTAGTAGTAATCCCACCGATTTGATTGCATGTGACTTTATATCATAAATATTTCGATAGACACGATAATTAAATATATATGATTGGCTCTTCTATAGGAGTGCTGAAGGTATGAAACTAATGGATACGACGTTTTTTGAATGTAGATGTTCCGACGCGCAACAAGGAGTAGAAAGTTAGCGTATCCACTCTGTTGTTTTGCTAAAGGTATCAAGAGCTCACTTTTATTTCACGCCATGAGTCACAAAGGACACAGTCACAGACGAAGAGATGCATACCAAAGACACTCAGAGCTCCAACACACTCACACACACAAGCCATAAAGTGGCTGTTTCATTTTGCGTTAAGGTCGTGCGAACGCGACAAATTGCCAAGCGGTTGGGGTAAACGCTGCAGAGCCAAGAGTGGAAGGGTTGACGAGTGGTTGAGCTGGGACTTAAAAACAAAGCAAATGCCCCAAGGGGGACAAACGAAATGTCGGCATCTGCATTTATGACTTTTGCGACAGGCTAATCTGATGCTGAGCATATCAAAACACAAGGAGCACTCGCAGGAGCAGCAGGAGCCACCCCTCGGAGTGGCAACCCAAAGCTTGAATCCAAGCTCATGGCCTGAGTGTGGGAGGCGAGCAAACATGTAAAGATTGTAATTAACATAAAATTAATATCAACATGTAAGAGGAAGTCCTCTGCCAAGCGCGACTAGCTCAGCCGGCAGCAAGTCGACTGTCAGCTGGACTGTTGACACAGCTCAAGACTACACAGATATGCACTTGTATGTGTCTTGAATGTGTATATATGTGTATGTATAAGGGGTTTGTGTAGGATGCCAAATGGTAGGCTGCTGCTGTTCGTTATGTGTATCCCGGCTTGATGCTCTGTCGACCTGCTATTGAAGCACCAGATAATATGTTTTATGCCGCAGCTGAACAAATACACTCACCTGTATTTGTGGCTTATGCTGTAAATGTATCGCAAAAAATACCTGGTTTATATTTATATATTTATTTTGTGTCATGAGGTAAGCAGCTATTTAATCACTAAGCATAAATTTCTTATTTTATATAGGTGAATGGTGTATACATATTTGGGAAATTGAATTTTATATATCAATAATTGCTATCATAATTGTAGATAAATCGATAGCTGTATTGCATTTATTCAGGTACTATAAATGTATTAAAAAATTTTTATACTTTTTTATTGCCTAAATGTACTATATCTGTGCACACAGAAAATTCCTGAAGTCCGAGCCTAATGACTTGCAAATAGCCCTACCAATTGCCAATTACATTGCCAACACATTGGCCATAATTACTGTTGCAGTTTTATTACATGCAACAGCACACTATTTAATGTTCGCTTGACAAATTGAGCTGGAATATTTGTGCTGCTGGCTGGTTGGCATGGCTTGATGGTTTGTTAAACAAAACGCAACATTTTGTTAAAAATTAAAAAAAAAACAAGTAAGAAGGCTCCAGTCGAGACTGCTCGACTAGGAGATACCCTGAACCCTSYAARHTGATATWMTWATCAKTCTGGACTTCTTTTATGCACACATACATACACATGCACTTATAAGCACGTGCTCTGCTGACTGCGCAGTTAGCAGCGACTGCGCTTGGGCTGCGCTGCAATGTGGGCAATAATATGAGAATTTATTTGTTGAATAATTTCTTTTGTAGACATACGATCTTAATGAAACTTTCAGAGCGTAATCATATGGTTAAAATATGTGTACATTCCAAAGCACAAGTCTCTAGTACTTGAAAAGTACTAGTACTAGTACTTTTACAAATTGGGGGAGAAGGGGGCGTGGTATCCAAAATCTGCAAATTACAAAATCTTTGTATCCACTAACTTTATATACAACCCAAATATGAAGTCTCCAGGTCTAAAAGTGTTAAAATTATGCTGAAAAAACCAAGTCGATTTTTCGATTATTCTCGATAAAAAAGTTATCGGACGAGTTATCGAAAAAATAAAGCAAACTTGTACTGCCTATGGTATACACGAGTATGCATGCCAAATTTCAGCTCTCTAGCTCTTATATCTTCTGAGATTCTTTTGCTCATACGGACGGACGGACGGACGGACGGACGGACGGACGGACGGACGGACGGACGGACAGACGGACAGGGCTATATCGACTCAGCTCGTCGTGCTGATCAAGAATATATATACTTTATGGGGTCTGCGATGATTCCTTCTGCCTGTTACATACTTTTCACAAAACCATTATACCCTGATTTCCCATTTTCAATGGGTTCAGGGTATAAAAATCGAACTAGTTCTTTTAAAATCCGATAACGAAAGTTCGCTTGCGCAGCTCTGAAATATGTTCGTGCCTTGCTCAGCATCAAACAATCTAGTAGTCTGCGTGGTTGATGTCACACTTGTATGTCAAGTCAAATATGCTGATATAGCTTCAACATTGTAAAAATTAACCGTCTTACAATAAAATGGGAAGACGAAATTTAAAAGCTCAATTGGTAATTTTTTATATTTTTTACATTTTTACATATTCGAATATTAACTAAATGTAAATTAATTAATTAATTTAAATGAGAATTAATTTAGATACTCGACGGAAGGGTTTCTCCCGCCAAGAATATGCAACGTAAGTGTTAAATTTAGATATTTAATTAATATGTATACATATATATAATATATGGATACATTTTACATATTTTGTCTTCCAACAGCGGTTTCTGCTGCCAGTGCTACTAGCGCTGCTGCGGCTCCATCTATTGCAGGAGCAGACTCCGAACCACCAGAACGTACTCTACCGCGTCGGCGGGTAAGTTTTCCTTTTTATGTCAATGCGCCAGCTACCANTTATAAATTAAATAAATTTATATATTATATTTAGATTCTTACGATGGCAAATGCTGACGGATACGTTGTATTCTTAATTTTCTTAAAACTATTCCTAACTTTGTGTCTATGCTATGCCCCTAGGTAAACGTAGTAATGTACTTAAGATTTAAGTCATGCACTATTCTAGTTAATTCATTTCTTTTCAAACACGACTTCTCGTTTCAGCTAACAATAGAACTAATCAACGAACGCATATAGAGAAACCAATTTATATTCAGTGCTAAATATGCGGCAGCAATCAACAAATGCTGGACGCACAAAATGAGGCATATCAGCGAGCAAATAGTATCGCCAACAACAATGCCACGGGCAACAATAACAAGGCACACAACAATGGGAACAACAATGAGCATCACTTAAGCAAATAGAAAATCAACGCGCAAAATCAACACGAAATCAATACAAATAGCTGTGAAATTTACTGTCAACATTTGTTGCCATAGCACAGGCGTTGAGCCACATATAGAGAAAGTAATAGGGGAGAGAGATATATATAGGGACAGAGAGAGGAGAGAGGAAAGAGAAAACAAAAGCGTGAGAATCGACAAACAAAGGGACTAGGCAAGTAAACTCCATTTCAAATGGGCGGCAAGCATGGAGCCAGCGGTAGTTCCGGAGGCGGCGGTGGAAGTGGAGTTCCCGGAGGCGGTGGCAGCCTTAATTCGAGCATCTGCAACTCGGTGCTAACAAATGCAACCGCAGCGAGCAACAGTCTGAGCCAGCAACAGCAGCAGCTTCAGGCTAAGTACATCAAGTCTAAGCGCCATCAGAGTCGATATACGAATCTGCAGAATTCTGGCCACGACTCCAGCAGCTATCTGCATCTGAATTCGCTCTGGTCAATCTGGTATGGCGTACTGCTGACACTCTTTCAAGGATATTTGGCTATGCATGGCGCCTACAGGTTCCTCGGTAAGTGTCTAATAATAGAAGAAAAGGATGTATTATCATTTAATTTTTTAGAATTGCTAATGAAAATCAATCACATTAATTTTTAATACAAATACTTTAAAAAATGTGGTTTCTTTCTTCTGAGATTTTCTGCAGCAATTCGCTTGCTGCCTTCAAAGTATATTCATATTTGAAATAACATCTCTGATTTGATTATCTATCTTTATTTAGCATAAATTCTTTCTGTTTTGCCACCATTTTGGATTTAAAGCTAACACCAATTGCTGCTGTTAAATCTCCATCTTGCTGCTGTTAGCAGAGATATATCTGAGCTGACATGGCAGTATGTTAGTTAACATTGTTTCAAATATTGTTATACTATTTGCCAGCTTCTGTTGCGGGGAAAGTTGTGAACTTAACAGTAGTCATTAATGTTAGCTCTGTTCCGCTACCACAGCCAATACAGCCGAATGCTGTTAAATTTTTAACGCTTATGGCTTAATTAATTTGTATCACTTACAGGCTGTTCGCTGATACCCTGGAAAATCGAGCCCGTTGGGGAGCTTAATCTGCAAATTGTACTCTCCGGTGTAGTATTTATTCTGCTGCCCGTATTCTTTACATCGGCCGTATTTAAGGTGAGTTCTTTTAAATAAAGTGAGGCTTAACTTAATTTGGGATCACGAAATTAACTGTGCGGCTGTCTGGGCAAAAAACTGAAGCTCGATGAACGATAATGAAATTTTATTTTGCACTCCGTTGGCGTTGGTCGTCCGCACTGCCGTGCATCCCTTGCTGCTCTATAAACTATTTTAGTGGCATTATTTTCGTTATTAAATTCATTTGCAAACAAACAAGGCATACGCTCCTGCTCCTGGACAGTTATCCTGGCCAGCTTCTGCCTCGTGCTGCGCCACAAAATGGCTGCCAATGTGGAGAATGCAGCAAACACACTCACACGCACACATACAAGCACGCACATACATTGCAACAATTGCGGTGGCTATCCTTTCACACACACGCACACACACACACCGAGAGAAGGAACTTCTCGCATATAGTGTAGGTATGTGTCATTCATGTCTCTGCTTTTATCAGCATAATAAATGCAATTATGGCTTTTTCATTTCCCATCTCACTCTGGTGTCGTCTCTGTCTAGCACATAGTGCTTTATTTATTGTCTATTTGAAGTGCATGGCAGACGATGGCGCTGGCAAAAGCTCGATAGAAAAATACAATAACTTGCAAACGGCTCTATATACCCTGTGCATTGAAAGATTTAAGTTGGGCTTAGCCTATGCGGATGTTTCTATTCCATTTAGAATTATCTAAGATTATACATTAGTATTTCAGGATATTGATAATGTCAAATTTCGAATTTATGCTTGTATTAAAAAAGTAAATTCAAATATTGGAAAGAAATGTTTTGATTAGCCTGGAAGGAGTACTTTTAATTTACAAACAATAAAAATGCTAAAATTACATTCATTTTTAGAATATATTAATTACAGTATATGGAAATCTATAAGTTCTCAAATGGAACAGTCTGAAGATTTTATACCCCAATATCATTGAAAATCGGAAATTAATTTTGATTTATGTTATATTTTTATACCAACCCTTCCCCCCGAATATTTCTGTATTTTAAATAATCAAGATAATATATAGATAGATAATATTATTATTTTTTTTATCCAAATAGAATATTTTTATGTTATAACTATCTGCGTGCGTATGTGTTATTTCTTGAAGAGGAAGAGAAGCAAAGAAGATATTCCAATATCTTGAAGGGGTCAGTGGATCTTGCAGTCGAGCAGCCTTCAGCTTTCGGACTTATTTTCTATAGTATATTTTGCGACATATACTATTAATGCCACTTAAAAAGCACTGGAAAGAGTAAGAAAGATAGAGAGAGAGAGAGAGAGAGAGAGAGAGAAGCAGTAGCAAGGTGTGTCCTCTGTCAATTGTATTTGTTTGTATTTAAGCCTGGAGAAAAACGGTGCATGTCCACGATTCTCTCACAGATAATTGGCTTGTTTCTGACAACCTAAGAGCGGAAAGAGTGGATTGAAAGCGCAGCAGAAAGCACTATCGGACGCAGACTATGCCACACTCGAAGCGTCATGAGTGTATCCAAAGTGTGGCTCACGATTTGGCTTAAAATTGCATGTAAATATGCGCGTAGACCACAGAACCGCATACAAAACTCCAGTCGGGAGTCAACCAAAAGCTGGCTATCAGTCAGAGCACAGCCATGGCCACAGCATGGCAGTCAACGCAAGTCAATCAGCAACGGGACGGGATAATTGAGAGGAATGAGAGGGGCTGATCACACGGCAGCCATTTAATAAAGCCAACAGCAAAGCCCAATTCACTGACTGGGCAAAAACCGAAGCCCAACAGTGGTCATTGACGCGTGGCTATCAGAGTATTGGCAGGACACACAGTCAGAGGCACAGGAACGGCCACACAAGCAGCTTGCAGGCAGTTCCAATATGCTTCTCTTCTACTCTACAGCCAATTATTTCGGACCCATAGTTTTTGTCCACTTTTAGTCACTGAATAGAGAGTCTATGGCACCAGGAGACTCACATTCTGAGCCCTGTTTCATGATGAGTCAACAGCTGCACTTGAAGGTAGAAGCAGGCCAAATTAAGCAACAGAGCGTTTGCAATGGAAAATACCTAATCAATGACTTGAGAGCAGAGCTTAACTAGCACTCATATATATATTTATTATTCAAACAGCTCTTCATTGACAATATGTAATATAACTGGGACGAATCTGATTTACTTATACATACATATGTCAGAAGGTATTACTCTTTCACGTAGCTAGTATGATTATTGTTAATAACAAAGCATTTCGAAGGTAGTAGAGATTTTGAAATGAAGAATTGTTATTGCTCCGTAGGGATCTTCTCATGGGCTTGAATTCGTTGTAATTGAACGTAGCGTTAACCATTTTGATCCAGGGTATGAAGTAAGAGATGTTTGTGTAGACTCCTGGAAAGAATCTACGGCCGCAATCCACGCCCCAAGAAATAATGCCTGTGAGGGAGTTCATGCAGACGAGGGGACCGCCCGAGTCGCCTCTGCAGGCATCGATACCGCCGCTCAACCAGCCGGCGCATATCTGAGATCTGGGAAGATACATGTAGATGAAGGAGCAGAGACCTTGGTGCACAGTCGGAATGATGGCCTGCATCAGCTGCATCTTCTGGTTGCCCCAGCCGTTGATTACGCAGAGCGTGCCAGGGCTAAAGGGATGCTCGGCGAGCGAGACGGGGCGGATGTACATGGAGTCATTCGGTATGATACCATTGAGGAACAGCAGCGCAATATCGTTCTCAAGCGTGGCTTGGATATAGTTATGGTGTACAATGATCTGTTCTACCAAATACTCGGCGGTAAACTCGGTCCTTTCGTTAAGATAGGTCCCGCCGGCTACGACAACAAAGTTTTCAGAGTCTCTGAATTGCACCGGGGTCGTATTATTTCTATGTTTTGGGTAGTGAGTACGGGCAAGTAAGGGGACTCTGAGCAACTTTACCCACATTTCAAAGCAATGGGCAGCCGAGCAGACCACCCGCTGGGAAATCACAGAGCCACCGCACATGTGGCCCTCGCCAAAGCTTGCCTCGTGGTAGTAGCGTGCTCGGATCGAGACCATGTAAGGGGCATCGGCGATTGTTATTGGATAGCCACCTATTATCTTGGCATGGGTCTCCACTGTCGTGCCGCGCTCTACAATGACAAGAGCACATAGCTATCGGATTCGCTTAAGTTTGCATTACTCACGCTGATCATCATCCTCTGTAGCTGCTGCTGCTGCTACTCCTGCTGCGAGCAGCAAAAAGCCAATTGGCAGCGCTTGGCTAACAAACATGTCCCGGGACAAGTTGAACGTTGCTTGCTCTTAACTCAATTTGGCGATACATCGAATCGGAATGAAGAAAGTGGATTCCAAAAGCAGTAAATCGATAATGCGATTCGAAATTATTTCTATAATTTTGACTTCGAATTTATTTGCTTTAAGCTTTGACAAATATCGGCATCGATACGGAAAAATGTGTTTAAAATATATCGTAATAATTTATTGATGGCTAAAATATTACAAAAAATTATAAAAAAATATAGAATTAAAAAACAAATTATAAACCATGTATGAATGAGAAAATATTTGCTTTTACATTTTAATATATTTTCAATTACTAAACATATATTATTACAATAAATTAAATTATTATTATTTCTTCTATTATAATATATTTCTTTTAAGATATTTTCTGTTAATCAATGAGTATTTTACAAGATTTCAATGAGTTACAGATCATCTAAGTTAGTTTTTAATGAATAAGAATTGATGCCTTAAGCAGCGCATTGCTGATAAGGAGAGTGGCAGCCGGCTTAAACGGTGCACATTAGGATAGCGAGAGCTCTTCAGTTCAAATGAGCCTTGGGTTATTTCATTTTGTTGTGCAAAATAAAACTGAAAGTCAAATGTGGACAGCGTCCATTAGCACAGTTGCCAAGTAGATTGCTGATTTTGGCTGGCATAACATATAGCCATTTGTATGTTGAGGTGACTGGCTCAGGGCTGACTGCGGTTACCTTCTCCTCGCCGGCACTCTCTGCTACAATACATACATACGTGTATGTATATCTATATATATAAAAGAAAGTTGTGTAAAAGTGAAGACTGCTTATAACTTGATTTGGGCTGAACCAATTTTCATGGTTTTTGATTTGTTGGATTTGTCTCCGCAACGAGTTTAGTATAGGGTCTTAAAAATACTGAAAAAATTTGCCGAATACTTGAAAAACGCGGTTTTTTCCCCAAATGTTCAAATTTTTTTTATACCCAGTAGGCTTGGTAACAGTGACAGTTTTGACAATAGTGTAGAAGTAAATAAACAAATGTAGTCAGTCAGTCTACGGTCTCCTGACCTCGAGCAGACCTGACTATTCAAAAAAAANTCACGCGTTGATACTCAAAGGAAAATTTAAAGATGAGGAAGTTCTTATTCCTAGGATTCCGATGAGCTCAACAGATATGCCCTTTGAATTTAAACGAATTCAATTCCCGCTTCGTCTTGCCTTCGCCATGACGATCAACAAGTCACAGGGCCAATCTTTGACTATTTGTGGCCTCAATCTAGAAAATGCGTGTTTTTCTCATGGTCAATTGTACGTGGCATGCTCACGTGTTGGCAAACGATCCGCATTATTTGTTCTTGCACCCGACCAAAAAACGAAGAATGTCGTTTACAACAAGGTGCTTGAATGAAAATCCGATTAATAAATTTATCAGTGTATCCCAGCCTGAACAACATAGCTTTCAACAATTTTTTACCTAGAAATAATATAGAGGGCAATGCAACGTTTGCCGGGCCAGCTAGTAGTAAATAAAACGCGATGCTGGTGATTGTGCAGATTCTTTTAGCAGGGCGCGGAGAGGTTGTTAACCACGATATGTCGGTGCGCTTAAATTATTATCTCGTTGGCTAAATGGGTGTGCATTTTCCATCTCTCTCTCACTAGTGCAACTACAGCAGCAGCCTCTCCTCTTTGTGTGTGCGTGTGCACTTCAAATGCGTTTCGCTTTTTGCGAATTGCAATCATTGTTGCAGCTTCACGGCAAAACGAAATGAAACGAAATAAAACGAATCCAAGGCAAACAAACTAAAAGCACGTAAGAGCATCGGAAGTACCCAGCTGCGACATATCGACAACTCACCTCAGCAAATTGATTGAAATAAATAAGAGAAAGAATCCAGTTAGTGCTTCCACCACTTCTTTTCGAATCACAGATATACTCGGAAAAATAGGAACAAGTGATTTCGATTTACAACATAAAACAATGAAGTATATAAATAACTAAATAACAAATTAATTATCAAATTGCCAATATATAGGATTATATTCTTTTACGACTCTTAAAAGTATTGTGACCCATTCAACATAAATGTAAACAAGATCATAGATCCGGGTTATACCCTGAACCCGGTTTTGTTAAATATATGTAACAGGAAGAATGAGGCGTGGCAGACCCCATAAAGTATATATATTCTTGATCAGGGCGACGAGCCGTCTGTCCGTATGTTTGAACGCGTCGATCTCAGAAGATATAAAAGCTAGAGACTTGAAATTTGTTTTCCTAGATCCGTGTATACCACGCGCATATCGACTTTTGCTTAAAATATCGATAAGTTGCCCCGTTATTAGTTGCCGAAGGGTTCAGGAGATCTCGTAGTCGGGGAGTCTCGACTAGAGCTTTCTTACTTGTTATTTATTGCAATTATATTTTTTCAGCGTCATCCACAAAACTAATATGCTCGTCTGCCCCAGCTAGTTCGCAGTTAAACCAAAAACAATAACAGAGAGCTAAGCTAGCTAAAACGCAGCGAGTTCCATTTTCCATGGTTGTCTTCTCGCTTCTCACTGTGATTCTATGAAGTCTGCTTGTTTTTAATTTAAAAGCCCAACAGCGCACATTTATTTATATGCTGCACGTGATTTTTATGTTTCCCTTCTTTCCACTCACACACACACACTCTCTCTCTATCTCCCTCTCAGAAACACACGCTGTTATATAAATATTTCATTTTACCATTTGTCACGTGCATTTTTTATGCGCCAACGCGTCGTATACGCGATATTTCGCGCATAAAAATGCAAACGCAAAACACCCGCAATACCTTTTGCTTTGTTGTAAACGCAGCAGTTTATTTAATATTTTACTCTCATTGTTTTGCATAGTTTTATATACGATTTTATTTTTTATTAATTGGACGTCACGCCACGAGCTCACATTCAGATTCAGCTCCAGCTCCAGCTCCAGCTTCAGATACARCAGCAAATGGAGCTCTCTGGAGGCGTTGTGTGTGGTTTTGAGTGCATCCGCCTCGCCGGGGATTTCAATTTGGTGGAATATTTTGGGTTGGCTTTGCCGTGAAAAGCTTTCATTTGATTTACGGCTTGTTTTATTTTACAGATACGAACAAATTAAAGCAAAGTGTGATTGTGAAAAATAAAATATTTAAAATGTGGAAAGAGACACAAAGGCTGTATTAGCAAAAACGTTGCCACAGCACAAAATTTTAAATGATTCAATTTTTGATTGTATTTGGGTCTATATATGTCCCTTCGAATAGCTACTTTATTAAAGTTTCTCAAGTGGGAATATTCTGTATAAGTATTCATAAATTACCCAAATTCAGGAATCAATGCTATAGACATAGCGAATCGAATAAGGAGCCGGTGGACAAGGTCCACGCTTGCACAGTATTCATACTGTTGGGCTAATAATAATAGCGAATAGCAAGAGAATCAAAGCGACTTGTGAAAAGTCAATTATGTTAAATTAATGTAAAGCTATTGAATAAATCTCAATAGCCTAACACATCTCTTAATCAACGGTCACATTAGTTTTTTCTCGAACACCACACTTTTCAGCATCGGGTCCATACAATTCAATTGTGGTGCATGTATTAACAACACAAAAGTAGAGGAAACCAAACCTAATTAAACAATAAAGCAAAACAAAAGTTTTAAATATATTTTCAGTTAATAATAATATTTTGATGAGTTGAAATGTGTGTATGGATATTAATAAAACTTGATTTCTGTATTTATTCTTATAAAATTTCTTATATCCAGCAGTTGCAATCTATTTGTGGGTAACTATTTACAGCTGGGATGTTTATTTAGGATAGCCTGTGTCTGCTCCTCTACTGGGTCACACTGTTCCTCATTTAAGGACTGTTTATCGTAGGAAACATTGTGGGTTATTGTGGTATAAATTGCTGTGATGACGTCGTTTTACAAGCATCAAATGCTAATAAGATATAAAAGAAATACTTATAAGATATGAAAATATCTACAATTCTTAGCACTCAGTTTTGCTATTTATTATTCCTGTTTATCAATGCAGATTGGCCATTTGATACATAGTTACTTTTCAAATGATTTCAATTGGTTCTCCAAATCTCAAGTTAAGCTTTGCAAGTATTCCTAACTGCCGTTGTGACTCACGGCCAGGCAGGGCTCGAAGAGTTGACGGCTGTTTTGAAGGTCTTCCTCGGCTTGCGTGTGTGAGCAGTGATTGTAATGTTGTTTTTGCTTTGCTTCGCAGGTGGGCAACTTGGCTAACGATGGCATCAAATTGGCAACCAGCGCCAAGGAGCGTCGCTGCACGTTGGCGCCGCACGACGGCCTCGAAGAGGAGGCGCGCGGTGGCACCTTGCGCGCCCTTTGGACCCACGGCGGACCCACGGCAGCCTTTGTGCATATCCTCATTGCGCTGTGCCTGCTGCTGCCCCGACTGCTGCTCGAGGCTCGCATCATCGAGAATGGACTGTTGCCGAAAGGTAAGTGTAATTAACTGAAGTAACTGAAGTGTGCCGCGACAGTGCTGACAATATAAACTTGGCGACTGTCAACAGTCTGAGCAAACGCCACTTGCAGCTCGAAAGTGTGCACTGGAAGGCGAAGATAGTCGACATCAGTGTACCCTGTTCTTAGTGGAAAGTTGTCATTTCATTTATGTTGACTGAATTTGAGTTCGAAGACTAAATAGGTTAGTGGCATCAAAGAGTGAAATGAATCCAACTTAAATTTAATATGGTACAGATAAAAGATTAAAAAAAAAACAAAACTGCAGCTGCTGTGATAACAATTATGAAATCATTACTATTATCCCAATAAACTATATTCCATTGAGGCTTTTCAGATGATAAATTACTTGATCTGATTTTCTACATGCATGAATAATCAATATACCTTTAAGTTGCGCTTTCCATTGCAATTTACGTCAACAGGAAGCATTTTTCCATTTATTTGATAGCATCCTGACATTTTTGGCTGCATTTTATTGTGCTTTTATAGGGCACTTGCATTCAGTATTACACTTCCGCCACGAGATGGCAGACGGCAGACACTTTGTAGCTGGTGCAATATTACCGTTAAGCATACGCAGCGTGGTCCGTTGTCAGTTGATAAATGCAACTATAAGGAGCCGCAGGGATGGAATCGTTCGTAATTTCATTTGTTGCTGCAATCAAATAATCATTTGTGTCCTTTGTGCACTTTAATCAAATTATTGGGCAACCGTCATAATTGGCCGTCAGACAATTGTCGAGTGTTTGACTGCAATGCGATTTGAGCATTCAGCAAAACGCTAGCACATAAAACTGTTTGGCCAAGAAGTTAGAGCACTAATATGGGCAGGCTTAACAAAGTGAGCTTAAGGGAATATCACAGAGAGTTGGATATGGGCATAGTTGCTTGGAGAGAACAGGATGTGCATGAGAGCGCAACGGCTCAAGTCACTTCAAAGCAACGGGCATCTCTGGGGAAATCTGCTCGAAAAACATATGCATGAGCCGCTGCTACCACAGGCAAACAAAAACAAGCCCGAACATGCCCAATATGGCCGCACACAGGCTAACAACCGCAGGAGTAAACACACATGACACACACAGAGAATGAGATAGAGAGAGAGACAGAGAGAGAGAGAGAGAGAGCGAGACGTGGAAACACATACAAATAGGTTGACAGGCGGCTGGGCAACACGCCCATTATGGGCAGCAATAAGCCATGTTATTAACAGCGCGCAGGCGGGCAGCCAGGCAACCAGCGAAGCGAACCAAAACTGTGCAAATGTTGGCTCAATGAGCAGGAGCAGCAGATGCAAAGGCCGAAGCGGGATATTCAGGGCTCTGGCAGGCCTCTGTTTGTACTTCTACATACGTTCGAGTGTGTGAGTGTCGCAATGTACCTTGTACACACATGTGTGTGTGTGATGCCACTCGTAGTACAGTAAACTAATGTCACGATGAGTGATAAAAAACAAAAGGAAAATGCACAAATAGGGGAAAAAACGGAAAAAATTAAGTATGCACATTGTTTGTTAATGCTTTGGTACACTTAATTGCCAAAGGGAAGTCGGCTTTGAAAATACTTAGATGTAAGTCCTTTAAAGTTTCAGTTCTATTATATTTGGAAATAACGAATTGAGCTCTAGTTGTGTTCAATATATAAATACTTACGGCCTACAAAACTCAGAATCAGCGTTTAATATAAAGTCACCAGCTCTTATATCTTCTGAGACGGACGGGCGGAGGGACAGACCGACGGACAAGGCTATATCGACTCAGCTCGTCAACCACGCCTCCTTCTGCCTGTTACATACAATTAGCAAAATCATTGTACCCTGATTAACCATTTTCAATGGGCTCGGGGTATAAAAAGGATTTTCATCCAACTTTCCTTTATGTATACTAATTTATTTATGTATACTAATTTGCTGATTGCGCTGTAAATTCTTTATATTCTTTTGATATTGATATCAGATATGAAATATCCGAATATATCCCAAGCAGATCGAAGAAGCGAAGAATTATTGAAATATCAGTTGCAGAAGATTTCAGGGGATCTCGTAGTCGAGCAGTCCCGACTAGAGTTTCATACTTGTCATTGACTGGGGCCTATCAACTCATTATTTGCAGAGCACTTAGCGCAGGTCATGTTCATGGACTCTAGACGTCGCTGAGCAAAAGACGCTCAGTTCTGAGCTATCCATTCTCCAGCGCGAGCTTGTATAACCACAGCAAACACGCCGTATTCGAGTGTCTGTCTTACAAGGCGTAAGGCTTTTTTTCGAAACTGTCTCTTGAATGCTTAGATCTTGATCTCTTTCGCATGTGGTATATTATTTTCATTGCTTTGGTATTTATTTGCATTCTCAATACACTTTTGGTTACAATATCAATATTACGGATTTTTAATGAATGTATTCTATGACTATGTTTAACAAGGATGGTGTATGACCCGTAAAAGAGCTTATGAGATTGATCCACTTAGTACTGGCTTACCATAAAGCTAGAGCTTATTCAGCACAAATAAAAAATAGAGTTCTTTAACTAGCATTCAGACTAATATTGAAAGTACATACAGTTTTACTTGCTGTTGCCAGGCGTTGGCAAATAGTTCACAGCTCTTTGAAAATCGAGCTGGGCAGTAAAATTGATTGCAGAGCGAGTGAAAGGTAATTGCGATGTGGGCTAAAGACAAGCAAATCAGAATTAACTACATTTAAAGCGAGTCCTGATGCGAATCCGGGAATCAGCGTCGACTCCACTTTGCCGCGGCCGAGGCCATCGCAATTGTAATCCCTATGCTGCTGCTGCTGCTGCTGCTGCTGCTGCTGCATGTGCAATGTGGCTGAGTGACCGTATGGCAGGTTTATTGAACCGGCCAGCGAGCAAAGGAAGGAGCACCGGGAGTGGGGAAAATAAATGGAAACAGAGCCGCTAGTGAAGCGGCACTGGCAATGGCAACGAGCTGCGCGAGTAAATTAAAAATGTGGCAGGCGGTCGCAGTGGCCTCATAAAGGCGTTGACGAGCTGAGTTGAGCTTAAGTCTGGACTGGACCGGAGTGACCCATGATGAAAGCCGCAGCAACAGCAGCAGCAGCAGCAGCAGTAGCAGCAGCAGCGGCAGCGGCATCAGCTCAGCTCACTTCATGTGATATTTCAATTAATTTCGATTTCTTTTGTTTCTGCCTTTCACTGTCCTTGCTGCTGGCAGATATGGCTGTGGTCCCATTCATGCTGGGACATTGTTTTTCGCGCAACTTGTTGGCGCCCCGCCGCCTCCTACACCTTCTCTGCTGCCGCACTGAAAATTAGAAAATCATTGGCACAAATAAAATGTGCAACGTTCGAAAGCCAACGTCTTGGTCCAGCACTCGCGTCTGGCCATGACGTGGACCAGTCGCTGTGGGGGCATTGGAGCTACAGCGGCAGCTGTGCATGTGACTGGGGATGGGGCAATGGATGAGGCTGGGTCCGGATGTTAGTCAAGTTAAGTGCAATGTCTTGTCGCAGCGGCTGCCTTAGCCATTTTACCGCTTGGCCGCCTTTCGCTGCAATTTGTCAACTGCGCTGACATCCTTAAAGATGCTCTAAGCTGCTCTGGATTGCCAGTTGGGGCCGAGAGCTGTCAGCCGCAGATCGGGCTTTGTAAGTTGAGCATTATAATTTCCTGTAAGGAATTAACAAAGTTAAACTTTGCCTCTTGATTGACGGGCTCCCACTATAGGTTTCGCAATAAAGAGCTATCTGAGTGAGTGCGAGAGACCTGCATTTCTATAAATCCCCCTTAACTTTTGCATTAGCATTAAATCGCGCCAAAGTACCGCCGGGGCAATTAGGTAGCGCAGCGCGAAATCATAAAATGAAAATACTTTTTCAAAAGTTCCCGCAAGTCGCATAAAAAGTGGCCCGAAAAGATATCAAATGAGGAGCTCACGGCAGAGGAGCGAGGGGAAGTCGGATGCTATCAGAGCGCAAGATTCGCTGGCGAAAATGCATTACTTAATTTAATTAAAATATTACGACATTCTGAATGCTTAAAGTGAGCGTAAAACATTTCACGTGCACCCAAAATGAGAGAAATATATGAAAAGCTTAACTTGTAGAAAAAAAGACAAAAAATAGAAAGTCATATTTATATATATACATTAATATAATATATATACATTTAAATGCATAAATAATTCTTTTTAAAGATTTAGCGTTGCACGTTGAGAGCCAATTAAGACCCAAGGCGAGCACCAATCAATGGATATCAATATTTGAATATTCATCTTTTATTTATCAACCCATATTAATGATTAAAACATTTGCTCGTTTTATTTTTTAATAAAAACGTCCGAAATGCATAATTTAAAATATATTTGTATTTAAATTTCTTGATTTGAGTGCGCGGCATCTGTTGCCAACCGCATTTGAGAGATATATATATTTTTAAATATTTAATTAAAAACTGGATATACGGATCAGCATCCGGCAACAGTTTTATGGATCAAATCACTTATACGCCGTGTTGCGCTCATAAATAATTAATGCGGCCGTTACGACTAACTAAATGAAAACTGTGATAGAAGAGCGGATGCTAAATACGAGAGCCCTCCACTGCGCCATATTGAGCGCATGAAAGGCTGCTAAACTGGCGCACTCGACTTGGGCAGGGGAAACTGTTGAGGGCTCGCCTGCAGGCCGGGCTGGACGTGCGCCGGAAGTGGTCCAAGATGTTGTGGCCAGCACCGGCCAAGGCATGAAACTTATCGTTATTCATGCTAAAGACTTAACGAGCGCGAGCTGGGGCTGCCAAGCCAGGGCGGTGGGTGTGTGGGTGTGGCAGGCAGAAGGCAGAAGGCAGCAGGCAGCAGGCAGTAGGCGGGGGCAGAACTCGAGCATTCTGTGAGGCTTATCGGCATCGCAACTATTACCCACAGCAGGGAAGCTGGGCAGTGGGCGTTGCTTGTCTTGGATTTGCGCGCTTTCATTACTTTGCTTTGCTCGTCTCTTCGTTCCTCCTTCGTCCGCTGTCCTTCGTACTCTTCGTGCTGCTGCTGTTATTGTCATTGCCATAATCGAGGCGAGGTAGAGCGTCGGGACGAGGGCATTGCCGCCGGGTTAATCTGCAGATTTTCGGTGTTGTCGGTTTTACGAGCCACTTGCCGTTTGCCAACGACGACATATTATTATGGCAGCCATTGTGTAATCCCGCACAGTCCCTCCCTTTCCCTGCCCTTCCTTTCCATCAGTCTAACGGTCACCCCATCACCCAGCCCATTGTCTTTAATATTTGTTCGGCAATTTTCGGTCTTTTATTTCCGAGCTGGCTCTGTTTGCTGTCGACTCGACCGCCCGCCGAGGGGCTTCGCTGTCAGTTCTTTGTGCTCTTAAAGCGACTTGTCCAATAAATAATTTTATGAAAGTGTTAAATTGGCAAATTTCGTGTCGCTATTCAAGTTATTAACTGGGCCACAGTATCCGGCCTGCCCGCCCCCTTTCAGAGCGCTGCGAGATCCATAAAATAAGCAAATTAGCTAGGCATTATAATTTAGTTCAATTTTGGCCTAAGTAAACAGTTGCCTGGATTTGAGCCATAAAAGCTATAAAATTATAATTTTTGTATTATTTATGAAATAATTTATAGATCCATTAATCGACCGAAGCTGATTATAAAACTCGACTTCGAGGGACTTAGGCAGTCAACTCAACGAATTAAATCAATTCATTAATTGAACAATATTAAATCGTGGGCTTTTTTGGGAAATTACAATTCCTTTCAGTGTAGAAATATCAAAGCTAAATGCCAGCTGACTATCTAAATTATTCCAAGATTATTTCCCCTGAATATGCAATCTTTGTTGTTTTTTTTTATGGCCATCACATTTAATTAATTCTTGAATCATTTGAACTTGTATTCGTTCTGCTTATATTCATATTCATTAGCACACATTCCGCTGGAGCAGAAACAAATTTCCTAAGCTGCGCTAACGGCAGCCAAAAAGCAACAGAGGGAAACACTTCGAGCTGGACCGTAATAAACATGAGCATTGAGTTCCGCAAAAAGCAAAGGTTGAGCCTCCTGCTAAGGTAGCTGCTGTCGAGACTCGTTAAATGGCACATAAACCCCTGACATATGCTGTAAATGTGCACTTAATTAGCCCAACGGGACTTCAATATTATCCAGTGCTAAGCATTCGCATTTGCCAGCCCCCAAATGTAGGCAACACTTTTTGTGGCATCCAAAATGGCGTCGTAAAGCTCATGGAATTGACTAGGCGTAGCTTAAGCGTATGTTATATGCTCGTGTATACATGTGTTTCAGAAGCTGACTAGCAGATACCCTGTGTTTTAATTTATTTCCATTACCATTATGAATCAGTGTTGAGTACAACTCCTTCAAATAGATATCAATTTGAACTGGAATGGAGGAAAGGCTGAGATATAGAGATAAATGAGTATATCTTAAGCTATTGCAGTGCTTTGGATTATTTATTGAAGAATCAGATCAAAAGACAATGCATGTTTGTGGATGTACAGACATTTAACATTTTATACGTATTTTATTTTTAATAATTTTATAAGATTTTTTTTATATATGTAGTAATAAAATAGATATTATTATTATTTTAAGAGTTTCATTAGCGTTAGCAATTACTAAACGAACAATATACTACGAGCTCGGCACTTTTGCACAATTGGTTGGGTTGATTGCATGTCGATAATTTAGCAACAGGATATTTGAGGCGGTGAGGTGTGGTTACGTTAGAAGGGCATGACTATGTACTTGATTTGAATATCTAATGCCATGGAGCATATTGGGTTACAGTTCTTATACTCAATCAGCTCCCGTTGCCAGCTGTGTGCAGGGTATGGAAGATAATCTTTTACTAACGCCCCATTTAATTAACGATTGCTGAGTGGAAATTGAAACAGCTTGTGGTGTTTGCCTGTTTGGTTCAATGTGTTCAAATGCTCATTACCTGCTTTCATATTTATTTAAAGCAGGCGCGCGTGTGTTCGATGGAATGTCTGTGTGTGGTGTGTGTGAGTGGCTGAGTGATTGTGTCCGGCACAGAGAGGCGCCCTGCAACTAATCCCCTGAACATGCGCTGCTTTGTTATGGCATAGTTCAAAGCGAATTTGTGTTCTGTTGTGTTGCCAGCAAGTCAGGCATGGGATGAAGTAGTTCGCTCTAATTAAACGCATCCAATTCACCTGCTTCCGTTTGCTCTCTCGCTCTGTCCAATTGCAGAACAAGTTTGGGCAACCGAATTGGACTTTGTTGTTATCAATAGACGCAGTTTGATGGCCATGTCGGTGGTGGGACCGACGCCGCCCTATCAAAAGCAGCAGCAGCAGGAGTCGCAGCCGCAGCGACCGACAAACGTAACTGCGAACAGTTTGGAGCACGACGAGGAGGACTACTACAACGATACGATGTTTACGGCAGTGCGCGGCGGCATCGGAGGCATCGGAGGCATCAATAATAATTTGTTCGAGCTGACACGTGATAAGGATGGACGTAATGGCAGAAAGGCGGCCAAGACGACGGCAACAACAACCAAGACAACAATGCGAGGCGGCGGGGCTGCGGGCAAGACAAGATACTTTGAAGTGCCCGATTTAATTAATCGAAATATTGATGAGGGCAATGAGCGACTGTTGGGTACTGACGATGATGATGGTGATGATGATGATGGTGGCGATGATGATGATGCCGATACTGAAGTTGATGCTGGTGCTGATGCTGATGCTGATGACGATGCCGATGCCGATGATGGTGATGACATTGAAGTGGGCAGAGATGGGGGCACTATCATCATGCCAGACTTCGGATCCAGCAGTGAGAAACATGCAGGAGCCGATAATTGGCAAAGGCTGGGCACACTGGATAAGGCGCGCAGCAAGACTACAACAGCAACGACTAGCACTAGGGCAACAACAACAAGAACAACAACAACGGTAGCTAGCACAACCACAACAACTAAAGCAACGACCACAACCACAACAACAACAACAACAGCACCACCGCCACCACCACCACCAACAACAACAACAGCAGCAGCAGCAACAGCAGCAACAGCCGCAACAGAAATTGCAAAGAGGCAACAGCAATTGCCGCACCAGCAACATCAGCACAAGCACAGTCGCAAGCACCACAAGCAGCACCACAAGCAGCGACAACAACAACAACAACAGCAACAGCCACGTCGCCATCATGTGACGTCGCATGAGCAGGCGCTGCAGGAGAGCTATATGAAGCAGCGGGAGGAGGAGCAGCAGCAGGAGGAGACTACGACGCGGGACAGCAGCATTCATCGTGTGCGCACCGAAGTGCTGCCAGATTTAATAATACCCTCGACGCCGATTTCCACCAATTCCAAGATTATCGCCATTAAGCCCAAGACGCAGAAGAGACGCATTTCCAAGCGCGCCGCGGCCAAGTCGGGCGTCGAAATCGAGCCGGAATATATGCTGGGCGACAGTGGCATCAACTCCAGTGAGTTCATAGCCAAGTCGAGCGAGCAGCAGCAGCAGCAGCAGCAGCAGCTGGACGACGACTTGGATCTGGACCTGGACGATGCGGACTTCCAAGCGCTGCCAGCTGTTACACCAGCTGCAGCTCCTGCCGGCAACAGCAACAGCAACAACAACAACAACGAGTACGTCCGTCTCGACGGCTTTGCCGGCATGCTGCAGCTGTTCTTTGGCATCGATAAGCCCATCGACGTGGCCATCTTCGCCCAGCCACCGAGTGCGGAGTTTGTCAACCTTCTCTGCGCGCTGCTCGTGTGGTCCGTGCGTTATCCGGCCGTCTTCTGGAATACGTCCAAATCTTTCGCCTGCGTCTTCAGCCTGCAGATGATTGTCGCTGCCTTGGACGTCATTCTCGGCTACGTGGGCGTCTCCAATCTCTACAAGCTGCAAATCTATGCGGAAGCCATGCCGGTGCATCAGCCGGGTCTTATACTGAATGCCACCGTGACCCTGGCTCTCTATCTGCTGGCCACGGCGCTCGTGCTGGCCTCCTCGATGGTCATGTACCTGTATGGACACGGCAGGCTGGCCACACGCATGCGAGACCGTTCCATCATCACGCTGAAGGCGAGCCAAACGTGGATCTACTTCGCCCACTGCGCATCCCTGTGCTTCGTCCTGGCCCTGGCTGTTGTCAAAGCCCCGCTGCTAAATGACCTCAGCGCCACCTACAAGAACAATCTGCATTGTCCAACCTTCTTGGCAGGTGAGTTCACTTACAATGCGACGGAAAATAATTTACCTGAAACTGAGCTAAATACATATATAGAATAAATATGTATCAAGAAGAATATAGAAAGTGTATAGAATAATATTAAACACTGCAGCTGGGCCTTGCGCCCTGCTTACTGCGCTGCCGTTGCGGAACTTAACTCTTTAATAACTTCACAGTTTAATAGTCCAACTTTGATATTGACATTTAAATGTGTCATTACCAAAACAAAAAGTTTTAGTATCGGCTTTCAATAATTTTATTCATTTATCATGTGTAGAATCCATGCCATTCATATTTGGTAACTTAACAAGACAGATAGAGAGAGCAATTCAACAATGGAAATACATCCATAGACTATTTAAAAGTAAATATGAAACTCAATATTAATATTTGAGCAAACCACTTAAAAGTAAAAGCACTCCAATTTGACAATTTGTATCAAAATAGGGCAAACGAATTTAAGCCCATACGAGGCACACAAGTTCCCCTAAGCCCAGCCATGGCAACACCTTGAACTGTTGTCTATTTGGCCATATCATAAGCCAATTAGCGGTTGTTGTTTTAGGGGATTTCGCATTAATCGGCGGTTTAGGGAGGACAAAGGGCGCGTATCGAATGACTACAGGGCTCAATCGGGTTCCCTCTTAATGGGCACGTCTTGCGACCCAATCATTCTCTTTATAGCCCACTTTCCCTCTCCCTCTCTTTCTATCTCACTCACTCACTGTCTCTCTCTTTCCCTGTGCAGCTTTGGTGGGAGTAATCCATTTGCTGCTGTGGATTGTCGTCTGGCTCTGTTTGACCATCAAGCGACGCTGGCACTTTAAGCTGCCCCCGCTGGATCACACGTATGGCGGTCTGCTGAACAAGGCCAGCGCCCAGCCCCTGCTCATGTCCAGCGGTCAACGAACGGGCAGCAACTCAAGCAGCGGCGGCAACTCGACGAGCACCACGGTCAATGGCATGGACTGCGCCACCTCCAAGCCGGACATGATGAGCACGGCCACGAGCACGGAACTGGGCGTGGGCATGAGCATGGGCCTGGTGGCCCAGGAGGACATCTACTGGCCGAAGCTGACGCCCAGCTCGCCGAAGCTGAAGGTCACCTTCAACGAAGTTACGAGTACGTCTGATGATGTCCTACTAATTGGTGACCAAGAACAAACTGATGGCAAGCGGTAAAAAATCGTTTTTAGTTACAAAAAACAACAAATTCAATAGAACAAAAGTGAAGGCAGCGCCCGTTGTCCGATTTACTTACGAATCTGCAAACTGCATTCAACACACACTGTACTTAGTTTATTTTCATTTGGTTCTCTCTCACGCACCACCACCACCACCACCACTACCACCACCCACAAACATCAGCCCCACCCAGCACAGTACAAAGTAAAAAAGATACAAAATTAATCAGAATAATTTTTTAGTCATCTAATCTAGTTTCTAATTGTGTTGTGGCTCGTTTTGTTTTGTTTACTTTGCACGTTCCATTTCAAACATTCCTAATTAATATTCCACACACACACACTCCTACACATATGCACATTCACATTCACTTATCAACATTTAAATAAAAATTGTTTTGTGTATATGCCATCAAGTTTATTGCGATCAATTTTTTCACAATTTTCCATTTGCATTTTAATTTGGGGTTTTTTGTTCTCAATTTTCAATAAATGTATTTCGCATACAACCAATCATAAAGAGTGTTATATATATATGTAAACAGTTAAATTGAAAAAATATATATATATATATGTATTTATATATATATGCCTGAACAGCAGAAAGAAAGGAAACTATTTTTGTTCCGCTTGTCGCCTGTTTTATTGAAAATTATTCATTGACTTCAAGTCAATAAAATGGTTTGTTTTTTATTTGTAATTTGAAAACTTGATTTTTGTTCATTTCACTTTTTGTTGTTTGTTTGTAAATGTCAATTAACTAGACGTGAACTAGCCGTGAACTACTAACTCTAGCCTATTTGTCTTGACTTTCAATGGAAATTAACATTTAACTCACATTTMGTGTCGTCGTTGTTGTTGTTGTTGTTGCTAATTAAAAACAATTCCAACTAACCAATGTGCAACACAAGGTGGTCAACTCATGTGAACTGAATAATTTCGCATTCTAATATAGCTCTCTCTTTCACTCTCTCTCTCTCTCTTTCACTCTTACTCAATGCAGCCATACGAGCCGTGGAACCTCGCTATGTTTTGCCAGTTCTACGGGGGAAATTGACGACGGCGAGTACGCGACATTAAGGGCGGCTACCGCCGGCGCCGTTGTGGGCATCACCATGGGCAGCATAAAGAGCACCAGCATTGGCGTGAGCGTGGGCGTGGGCGTGGGCGTGGCAAAGGGCAGCGGCAGCGTCGCAAGCGGCCTGCTGCATCTCAGCGAATACGATGAGCTGGCGCCTCCGTCATCCGTCAGCCAGCAGCAACGCCCGCACGCCCACGACTATGCCAATCTGAGCGGGCTGGGCGGCGTCAGTGATGATAATATCTCCGAGGAGGGCAAGTTGTTGGCTTGTGTGCGCGACGACAGCATTACGTATGCATCCACGCGCGATCTGGAGCCGCCGCAGCCAACAACTGTGCCAGCAGCAGCATCACCACCGCCGCCGCCCCCACCGCTGCCCGTGAAAGGTGCGCCTGTGCCACAGCCGCCCAGCGTGCAGCATCCACATCATCCCAGTTACGGACGCGCCCCACAGGCCATGCCCGAGATCATGCAAATTTCACCCGAGCACAAGTCACAGCCCCAGCAACATCAACAACAACAACAGCAGCAGCAGCAGCAGCAGCAGCAGATGCATCAACAACAACTACATCATCCTCTGCAGCAACATCCACATCCGCATCCACTGCAGCAGCAACCGCAGCAACAGCATCATCTAGTCAACCCACTGGCCCCGGTCACCGTCGCTGTGCACACCCACGAGGCTCAAGTAAGTGGACAACGAGGTGTGCGTCGCCAGCCACACCCCCAAAGCCGGAAGGGCTGGCAGGAGGAGTTTTATGTTGGGCCATTTGGCTAGTCAACTATTGATGTGATTGCTGTTAGATATTGGATAGGCTAGTATATAATAGACGACGTGCAATATTCCGGCTTCTCTCTGAGGCAGCCTGTCGCTCAAAAGATTCATTATACCTAGACAGTGGCTAAAGAATATTAATTACTTTTTAATTAAAAAAATATATATATAAAAGAGGGCACCTCAGATAAAGAAAACTTGTAGCAGATTACATATATATCAATTCAATATATTTCAATTAAATATTTATTTAAACAGATTTAGTTATTGCAAGTGAGCTAGATATAATTGATATAAACATGAGAAGCGATTATAAATGAATTTGTGAGAATCGTAGAGTACAAAGAAATATATATATTAAATAGGAGACCAGCAGCTTGTTATATATTAACTGGATATCCGTTCTGCATAGTTAGTAAAGAAGTAGGGTATACGCAGGTTGGCTTCTAGGGAGAGCTCAGTATTAACATTTTGGTTCGATTGATGCGTAGTCGAGGCCACAGGGCCACAGCAGGCACAGCAGGAGCCAGCGGAGTGTGGCTTGTGACACGCCTGCGGACGCCTGTGTGGCAAGGCATGAGATTTATGTGTGCCGTTATGAGACAGCATAAATCAGTGACAGGAGAGGACAGTGCGGAGGACACATGCACAGCCTGATGGATGGTCGGGCAGCCTCGCCTCGCCTCGGGTCGCCTTGCCCTCCCGCCTGTTGGGCGGCTGTCTGCTGCTGCCAGACTGTGACAACATCCGATAGGGTAACAGGACACTCGCCTGATTTTATTTCATTTTCACTTGCAGGCGCCGCAGTGAAGCAGAGCAGTCGACAGTTTCCAGTTGTTCCTATCTATATATCCCGTAGTTTTCAATCATTTCCAATCTACGCACTTTGTGTTTCGCTCACGCTTTCTGTTGCCTTTCCTTGCCGCCACCAGATCGCCTCCAGCTCCACACCCCGCTGTCTGCGGCGCGCCGACTCCGGCGTGCCCAACGAGGCGCTCACGCCTCGCAGCGACACCAACTCGATCAGCGAAAGCACCAACACCACCTCGCCTCCAGAGCGCGCTCCCTCCGAATCCTCCAGCGGCGTGCACTCGGGCGAGGAGCGCGAACTGGAAGTCATCATCCGGCCGCGAGTCAGCTGCAAGGCGCCGCCACGCCCACCACAGCCGCCCATACAGGAGGAGCCGTACGGCCGCTGCACCAACATGCGCATGTCCAGCTTCAACGCCGACCCAGCCGCCAGCGTCGTCAATAGCGCCACGTTACCGCTGCAGCGCAGCGCACCTGAGCAGAAGTTCGACTACACGGCCCACTGCAGCACGATGCCCCTGCCGGCGGGCTGTCACAGCCAGCAGCTCGCCAACTGTTACGGCAACGGCAACAACAACAACGGCGGCTATGCCTCCACCTCGGCCATGACCAGTTCCATGGGCCCGCCCTCGCAGGTGTCCACCTTCAAGACGCCCAGCATGCACTACGCCAACGCAGCCGTCGCCCTCGGCTCCTCTGTGCCCCACACGACGCTGCCCAACGGCGTGCGCTACTCCAATCCGCACTTCCTGCGTCGACTGCCGCACGTGAGCAAAGCGGCGGAGTCGCCGTACGGACATCTCGGCTACGGGGCAGGCCATCACGCCTTCAGTAAGCTGTCACACGAGACGCATCCGACCATCCACGAGGATCGGGACTCGGCCAACTACTCCATGGCCTCGGACCAGGACTGCGGACTCTACGTCACGGCGCAGCTGCACTAAGCACCTAGTATATCAAATCCAGCTATAGCTCCCTAGCATCATAGTACCGCATACAAGCAAGCTTAAGCAGATATATAAATATACATATATATACAAATGTACTTTAATCCTAAGTGTATAGAAGCCTCAAATCTTAAATCTTCCACAAGCACTCGACAACTTCAGCTGGCATCAACACAGCTCGCTCATTATCAAGGACTTCCCTGCTGAGGTCTGAGCGATCCCTGTTGATGCTTTCTGATTAACTAGCAGAAGTAAACCTCCAAGTTTCCCTAGATATTCTATGATTTGCCTAACAAACATCTACCGTGTAGCACAAAAAACCACGCTCACTGTAACTGACGCCCCACGCATAAGGTTACAAAGGACATCTATTCATATACTATATATTATATATATACATAGATATATACAACTCTATATTTATACACACTGCTCGGTATGCTCGTATACAATATGTAAGATAATAAATAATATTTGTGTTTATCATATCATYTATGATAATATATATATTTAACTAGAACTTGGCGTAATGTCTAACTCTAAGCRAATCCACATGCATACATATGGCATATATCTATTTATATATATATGATTATATATATAACTCAACTATTATCAAGTAATCAATATAAAGACATTTAGAATTTTTTTCCGCTACAAAATCTCTAATCTGAAAAAATGCATACGAATTTAAGCCGCAATTGCATGGTTTTATTAGTAAAAAAAATAAAAAATAAAAAACTGAGGCCGAAAAGCTGGTAAAGTGGATAATATAAAATATTGATGTTTTTCCCATAGCTCGGTTAGCTGAAATCGGATATAGACCGTAATAGCATTAAGAGCTTGTGTATTTCTTTAAGATCAATTGCAAATAAACCTTTTCGAGATCGCTTAAACCTTGAATCGATCGATCATAAAATTGTATCGTATCTCGAATTATGTATTCCCCATCAAGAGTCCTGGATTAATATCGATTGTCAATCAAGTAATTTATGCTATCGCCGTAGTTTTGCAAAGGAAAAGTAATGGACGTGAACATTAGTCAAGCTTCAGCTAGTCGTCGTAGCGATAATTAATAAAGCTTCAGCATATTTTATACGGTCTCTCAAATATATACATATATACATGCATATATATGTACTCGTATCAGTTAAGATAAATGTAAATGTAATGTAACAAAGCGACAATATGATGATATCTAATGTATTATAAAAGGAACTAACTAACTGTATGAAATTAGCTAATACATCTACCAGCGGAATCACGCACACATACGCAACATTAACTCACGGACTTCAAAGCACCTCCCATACATATCTCCCAAAAATAAAAACTCCAATCTAGGCGCTCTCTACATGGCTTTTAGATACAAGTAAAAATGCATGCATTTGGATTCAAGAAAGAAGACATATTCATATATGATGAAAGCTATAACTTAAATGTAATTCCTATTCGGCACTCGCACCGTTGGCACATCAATTGAGAACTTAACCATATTTATTTTTGTTATGAAGACTGATTAGCATTATAATACCGTATAATGAGAAGCCCAACCAGCACATGCATTAAAGTACACGTTAGATACCCCGCCCAGCTGTCATTTATTGAAACTCTACGCATTGTACGACTCTTGACTATATTCGTCTATATTACTTACTTATTTAAATATCTGTTGAGATGGGGCGAACAGTCTATAACATTGGTTCCTTTAAGAAACGCACTAAAGCTAAGTATTAGCCATATTTAAGTCACACTTTTGTAACATAATTTCTTTTAAATTTTAGGGTTAATATTATGATATACTATAACAAGAATACATAGTATGCCCCTTGATATCGCATTATGTATGTAACTACATCGTATATTTTGTAAGTCTAACCAAGCGAATAAAAGAAAACAACTGTAAATGATAGTAAGAATAATGCCGCCAATGAACCCGATATGACATGATAGACACACGCATCATATACATACATCTAACATAAATATATTTATTGCCACACATAAATAAGCAAATGAATACTTCAATGTTTGAATTATTTATACATACCATATATAATTAAAGGTTTATCAATGGTAAATAAAAAAATACCACCGCTTTATGTGAAACCCCAAACAAATATATTTCTTTCATACTTCGGGATGGGGAATGTATGTCCAAATTTTAATTTTTATCGCAGAGACAATTGTGTTATGTATATGAAGTGTTACTGAATGTGCTTGTCCGTCTTCTCCATCCGTCTGTCCGTATGAAAGCAATTTTTTTCGGCGTTATTGAATCTAGAGACGTGAAATTTGGAACAAATATTCGTGTATATATCCGCTCTATAAAGTGTTAAAATGCTCTTGATGCTGAAATGTATTTTTCGATATACCAGAATCATATTAGATGAAGAGCTAGAAAGCTGAAAATCAAAAATTAAAAAATCAAAAAACTGAAATCCATAGAGTTTAAAAACTAGAACGTTAAAATTTAACATGTGAGCTATGATTCTATAAAGATTAATGAAAATATTATATGTCTACGCCCACAGAGGGAAAATCGAACCTAAAGATATAGTTATTTTTCAAATTGTTAAGCCTCTTTAGGTGGGTAGCATATCGAAAAAATACCCTGTAATTTATACATAATGCGTAAGTATTTAAATTTTTCAGTTCGATCTAAGAACTGACCTAAAATGAGGTGTCTTCGCCCAGTAGGGGCGTGGTAAATTGGGAAAAACTCCATTTTGTACAGTATTACAACTAAACTTAGCTACTAAATTGATGATAGGATGTGAATGAGTATTCCGCAGTTGGTAAAGCCCGACTGCAACGCTTTTGTTTTTTTTTTTTTTTATACCCTTTAATCCATTGAAAATGGGAAATCAGGGTATAATGCTTTTGTGAAAAGTATGTAACAGCCAAAAAGAATCGTCGCAGATCCCATAAAGTATATATATTCTTGATCAGCGCGACGATCTGAGTCGATATAGCCCTGTCCGTCTGTCTGTCAGTCCGTCCGTATGAGTGCGTCGATCTCAGAAGTTATAAGAGCTAGAGAGCTGAAATTTGGCAGCATACTCGTGTATACAACAGTACAAGTTCATCTTATTTTTTCGATAACTCATCCGATAACTTTTATCGAGTATAATCGAAAATTCGACTTTGTTGTTTTTCAGCCTAATTCGCACACTTTTAGATCTGAACACTTGCAACTTGCGTTGTATATAAAGTTAAATGGATACAAATATTTTGTTATTTACAGATTTTGGATACCACGCCCCCTTCGCCCTCAATTTGTAAAATATGCATTTCAAGTACTAGAGACTTGTGCTTTGGAATGTACACACATTTTAGCCATATGGTCACGCTCAGAAAGATAGTCTAACTCCAAAAGAAATAATTCAACATAATATTGCCCACACTGCAGCGAAGCCCAAGCGCAGCGCTGCTAACTGCGCAGTCAGCAGAGCGCGTGATTATACGTGCGTGTGCAGAATGAGTAAAATATCAGCTTAGAGGATTTAGGGTATCTCCTAGTCGAGCAGTCTCGACTGGAGCCTTCTTACTGTTTTTTTTTTTTTTTTTTTTTTTTTTTTTTTTTTTTAACTAACAAAACTCTCCCAAAAATATTCAATCCTATATTACCATCGAAACATTTTTGGCTTGTAAGATCATTCTATACTTCTCGCTGTGTCCTTTTAAATATAATCCATAGCTTCTCACAGTTAGATTGTATTTAAATGGGGTTCTCTCTCCCTCATTCTCTTGACTTGCAAACCTGTTGAGTGCTTTAAAAATACCGTAAATAAGTGAAATAATACTCGTTTTGTTTTATTAGAAAACAATTTTAATGAATATTTCTTTTGTTTTGTTATTTAAATGTTGGTTTTCATTAAATTTGTAGTTTACACAATTTCAAGGTCTGTTTCCGTGTCACTATTTATGCCTTCTTTTCTGCAAATTTTCTTTCTTTTTTCTGTTTAAATATTATAATATAATTACATAATTTCTCTTTTTGGATTTCTTTTTTTTTTTAATATATTCATTTTCACAGTTTATTGTCGTTTCTCGACCTTCGATTTTTGTCGAGATATTAAAATACAATATATTCGAAGCGTATTTCACGCAGCCATTTGCTTTAATTAATTTTGTGTTTTGGTTTCTTTTTAGTTTGGTTTGCTTGTCAACATTTTGCAATAAATGATATATCTTTCTGTTGTTGTTGTTGCTGTTGTGTATTTAATTTGTTTTATCAGTTTGAACTTAGTAAATAGAACWTTTTGGTTTCACTTTTGTTTTTGGTTTGTTCTTTAAATAACTTGACGTAATATATCTTGCGTTTCATTAACAATTCTATGTATATATATATATATATGAGTGTGTTTGTGTGTGTGAGTGTTTAGCGACTTCTCTATAAAACGAATTAATAGTTGGAATTATAAATAGATGTTCGAATATGAATAATGTTCTATGCAGCATAAATGCCCTTGCCAAAGATATACACTATAATAGATATAGTAATAAACTGGATTGAGTCCGTCCTTCAAATAAAACTGTTCAGAATAGTTGTTGCTTTGGTCAAAGTGTTCAAATTGTTTATATCAATATATACTTAGATGAAATATATTTTATTTTATATTCTTCTCCACATTGTCTTTGGTAAGCGCATTTGAGAGTCGTTGCTTGCCGACCTTATTGTATTTATTGTATTTTGGTTGTTCTTGCTGCTATTGGCTGATTATTAAAAGCATTTAAGTGCCTTTCATAGGAGGAGAGCAAATGAAATAAAATATAGAGTTTAGCCTAGAAAGGTCTTCGCTGTGGTATGCGAATGTTTAGAGCAGAGTGTGAAATTCTATTAGCTAGTAGTTTGTATGCACTTGTATGTCTATGTCTATGTGTATGTATATGGCTAAGTCTATGTCTATGTCTATGTATATGTATTTGTATTTGTAGCTGTATATGTATATGTGTCTACGTATCGCTATGTCGGTATGCTGTATCGTATAATTACTTGCTGGAAACCTCGCTGATAGTATTGAAGTTCTTTAAAGCGCGCTTTGCATTTGGTCTACAGGATGTTGAGCCCGACGTTCTGCAGCAACATTTTGAATGCATTTCCCTGTTTGGTATTTGCTGGCAATAATTACATATTTTTATTTGGTTTGTTATTATTTAGCGGTAGATATAGAAAGTTTCAATGGTCATGCAACGGCATCCGCATCTGTAGTTGAGTCTGTGTGCAAAAAGCTGATGAATGGACGGACGGGTTGAAATTAATATCGTTAGCCAACTGAGTTCTGAGGAATGAAGTGAATGTACTCAGATACATATAGTACAATTTATCTACGATCTGTTGCTAGGAACAATACAATAGCTATTCGGCGTATACATATAAACGTTTAACAATACAGTACATTGTTTTTGTATATATAAAAATCTACTGCTCCCATCCTAGTTCCCTCGCAGGCCTCTGATATGTTTACTCAAAATGAACCATTTGAGGACCTCAAATGCATTGCAAAATGTTGTGCAAGAGAACGCAGCCAGACGCCAAAGTAAAGCGTAAATATGCATATGCATGCATAAATGTGAATCTATTTCATTTGTAACGTTCTCTCTCTCTACAGGCTTGTGTTTTGTGTGTCTGTGTGTGTGTGTGTGTGTTGTGTTCTTTATCCGTTCATTAGCAAGCAGGTAACATTTTTACAGCTCACACTATTTATTATGTTGAAGGTACGATGCGTTATTCTCTTACTTCGAGCTAGCTGACGTGGGCAACTTGAATTAGACAAAGGATATGCGAGATATATGCAAATAGAAGCGAGATCTTGTCATGCGAATGCGTTATATGTTATTTGTTCTCTGTTCTTAGTTGTCTGTTATCTATTATCAGCTCTGCGCTGGCTGCAAAAACTTGAGGATTTTGGGGTTTCTGCCGAGTTTTTGCAGCTGTGCAAAAAACAATATGAATCAAATAAGCAGAAGCCAAAATAATTATTCATTAATAACAAATTCACCTCTCTATGGGCATTATAATTATATGAATATATATATATATATATGTGTGTGTGTCTGTTTGTGTGTATGTGTATGAAGTGTTATCTATGTACAGCTTAAGAATAACATTTGTTGTGTATTCGTGTAAGTGTGTGTGTGTGTGTATGTTTGGTTTTAATTTTCTAAATTAAATTTGTTCAATCGTCACCCTTAATAAGTATTTGGTTTGGATTAATACATATCTCATATATCATATATCTCATTTAGTTACTTTCTGATTAACTTTAAGTTTAATTTATCGTAAGTTAGGCTTATTTAAGTGTTAGTGGTTCTTTGCTTGCTTAAACTTTAAATATATATCTATATGTATATATTTGTGTATACATATATTGTATATAGTATATACTCGTAAATATTTTCTTGAAAATCTATAACTTTAATTTATTGATTTAGATTTATCTATTAAACAACTTGCATCTGCACTTAAATCTCCATCTCCGCCTCCTGCCCCTTTTCATTTTCATTTTACTTTTTAATTTATTTACTTATCATCTTTTATATTATTATTATTTTTGTTTTCTATCTCACTGACTTAGCTTTAGGTGTATTACCGACATTAGCACTTTTTCTTGGTTGTGTGTATCTTGCATGTTTTCTTTTTGTTTCTTTGTTGTATATCTATTTATTAATAATAATTATTCATAATAATAATCATAATAATCGTATTACGAAAATAATAGCGATCTTAGGTGTGTAATAAAAATGTCTTCAAATACGCCCTCATTCATTTTTTTTATTAATATTTTATATTCGTCTCTCTCTGGTGTAGATCGCATTATATTTAAATATTTTATATCTCGAATTTCATAGTTATTAAGTTTAATCATTTACTGCACTGCTTGTGTTATCGGGTATGGGTTTAAATGCATTTGTTTTCATGACTTACAAAATTACCTAGATCCTTACACTCCTAAGGATATCTTCCGATCGATAATAAGAGTAGGAAATCAAAAATACAAATCAAAAATTACATACAAATTGGACATAGATTAGGCCAGCAACATGCCGAATGGGAGTATCGGGCGACAGCTCCAGACGCTCGTCCGGGGTGTTCCACCTCCTTTTCCTCTCCCAACAATGCGTAGCAGGTCCTGCAGGCTGACCTTGGTCCTTTGCTATTTGGCTGCCTGGCTGGCAGCTCTTTGCAAGGGTTACTGCAACGATTACCACGAAAAAATTAGCTAACGGCATCTCGGCAAATGGTTTCTTATATAATGCAATGTTAATTGTTTATTAGCGGGCAAATTAATTGTTAGTTGCTTGTGAGCTGTTTGTTTTTGTTTTTCTTTTTGTTTTTGTTTTGGTTTTGTTTTCGTTTAGTATTATTGTTGATTGGCAATTATTTGATAGTAAAATGGCAAATGGCTGTGCTAGCGCGTTATACAGAAAGCTGCTTAAAAACAAACAAAAAAGAGTTTCATTCGTATGCAAAAAGTGGAGAATAAAATCGTTATCAATATGCTTAAGCTAGTTGTTAGTTTAGTGTGTGCACTTACAATTCAGTTCAGTTTGCAAGTTTGGAAATTTGTTTGTGCTTGGTGCTTTAAAGTGTTTTCACTGTAGCTGGAAAGTGTTATTCACCCTGCTCCTCCATTATTGATTCACCGGCCCAAACAATCGGACGACCCTGATGTGGGTACACATTCGAGAAATGCATTGTAATTGTCATTCATCAGCTTCGACGCTAGCCCTAACTAATGTGATTATAATATAATGTGTGTCTATCAATCTATGTTGACAGCTAGCCGAAATTTGCCATTTTGATTTAGTTTTGGTTTGGGTTCTGGGTTCTGGGTTCTGGGCTCTGGGTTTTGAGTTCTTAATGCGTTCATGTTTCGAGCTTAGTTCGGGAGTTGGGCAAAGCAAGATTACAGTTAGTGGAATCGAGTAGTTTTTAGTTTGTTAGCAACGAGTAGTATAAGTAAAGAGGTCAAAGAGGAATCATCGCATACGATAGAAATGATAAGGATATGATAATACGGTAATACGATAAATGGTACGATAACTACATGCATGCAGAAGACTTGGCAAATTGATCGTGGTTTTGGTTGTTTGTTTCAGGTAGTTGGGGATTGAGAAACATACCTATATGAGTATTGTTCGAGTCTATAAATTACTACGTTGAAGTTGTATGCTATGCCAAAAGAACGTAACGGTAACGGTAACGGTAACGGTAACGATAACGGTGATATAGATATTAGGTGACTTTCGATAGGTGTTTAACTTTCTTTTGGCTTATAATTTTCGAGCGTTTTTTGTTTTGTTTTTTTTTTTTTTTTAGTATATATATATTTTTTTACAAATGCATTTCAATTTTGATCTCTTGCTGGCACTGATCAATATATAGATATATATTATAATGGATTTAGCGGTGTAATCGATTCATATACAGGTGTGTGCGCGTGTGTTCTTTTTTGTATTTTTAGCTAACTAAAAACAAATGCAAAATATTTATGCAATCAATTTGTTGTTGGTTTTTGACTAATATTTCAATTTTGGTTTGTTTTAAATTTATCTTATTTGTTGTTGTTTGTGTTTGTACAGATGCTTTGTGACTCGCTAAGCTACGAAGTTAAATTAGTTTTTGTTTTGCATTTGAAGTTTTTTGTTTCGTATGTCAATACAGAATACTGATTAAAATGTAGCTACATATGTGTATGTATATGTATTTATATATATATGCATGTATTTATATTTTTGGCTCGTGTTCTGAGTATTTTTTCATTTATCAATATGCAAGTCGATCTTGAGTTGAATGTTTTATATTATAATAATATTTGAGCAGAGTTGAGTTGAGTTAAGTTTGAGTTGAGTTGAGTTGAATTGAGTTTTAGTAGTTTAGAGTTTGAGTGAGTCGAGTGAGGCTATTGATGAGCGCCTAGAGCCTAAACCTATATTAGTGGGACAACTGACCAGTGAGGTGGTGCCGAAGAGCTTGTACCAGCCGATAACGATATTCGAGAGATTCAGATCGTCGAGCATTATCTGCGCCACACCCATAAACACTTTCTTTTCAATCCGGCCGTAGTCGCCCCAAACGGTCACCTGGACAGGGCATTGATGTAAATTAATAGATCTATATATATTTATCATGCAGGCTCACTCACCTGCAAGACGCAACCGCTGTACGACTGCTTGAATACCAATTGCTGCTGATAGAGCGGATCCAGCGTGCGACGAGCCGTTGAGGTTTTCATCTTGTCAATGCACCGCTTGCCCGACACCAGATAAACTTTCACATAGGGCGCGGGCAACATCTTCGACGACGGCTTTTGCTGCCAGGTGCAAAGTATTACGTATTGGATATTTCCCTCCTTCAATTGACTTGTGCCTTCGCTTACCTGCAAGCCCCTGGCTCGTATCACCTCAACCTCGAGAAAGCCCTTCTGATGGCACAGCGACAGCTGTATGTCACCTAGTGAGGGGGCGCCGAGCACCTGACGACCAACCAATTGACCCGGGCCGAGGCCATCCACAAACTCATTCAGGGCTCCATCATTGCGTAATGATGGTGAAAATCTATAGGAATTTTCCGTTTTTTTTTTTTTTTTTTTTTTTTTTTGTTGAAAAAGTTTAAGACTTTAGAAAGGTATTCAATACAGGACTTTCATCACATAGATCTCATTGAAAAGGAATAAAAACAAAGAAGTACAAGATTTTGAGAAAAAGAACTGCTTTAGCCCGGTTCCACCGAACAATCACCATCTGATGCAAAGTCGCGAAACTTTGCGAATCAGATCGTCTGTGGAACCAGGCTGTTATACACAGGGAGTTGTAGAAAGACAGTTAAATTGTTTTAAGTAGTCTTGGTGGTTGTTGTGTACGTTGGTTTACGACTGGTTCTGTGGATGGGTATGGTAAGTGTGGTTGTGGATGTGGTTGTGGCTCGTGGTAGTAGTGGATCATGTACTGACAGAGTAGTGCACACAGGAGAGTTCAATAGCATGCAAGCTTTTGTTTTTCAATTGATTTCTGCTGCTGAAATCAACTCAAAGCCAATGGAAACTGTATTTAAAATAGAGTTACTGAAGCATTTTACATATATGTATATAAATATATGCATATATTTATATGTACAATACATAAAATAGTTCCTGTTGTGTCTATGAGGAAGGTAAATGGTACATCAATAGTGCCACAATGAAGTCTAGGTGCCTAGTACTAGAGTAATAGTTAATAGAGATTAGCTTATGGCCTGTAATTTATTTTATTTTATTTTTATTTATTTATTTTTTTTTTGTTTTCTTATACACACACATCAAATAGCATAAATATATACATATTTAAGGAAATCATACAAGTATACTTGGAAATAATGAATGAAATAAAAGAAACAATAAATCAAATTTATTTTGCACATATATATGAGACGGAAAATTACACAAAGAAGTGAAGCGGAAAATTGAACAGAACGCAAATATATTTATAGATATACAAAAATGCAGACTGGCTCGAACGATATCAAGGCGCACATAAGTAGATAACAAGAAATAGATGCCGGCAAAGATTGGACACAGATAATTAAATAACATGATCAGAGAAAAATATGTGTTATAGTCGGGTGGTATGCGGTATGAGACAGGAAAGCACGACAGAGCGAGAGAGATAGAGAGAGAAAGACAGAGAATGATACAGAGAGACACAGCTGAAGAGAGAGAGAGAGAGAGAGAGAGAGAGAGAGAGAGAGAGATAGAGAGATATCGACACATAATGCCATTTACAAAGGCAATGGAAGTAGAAATTGGAGAAAATAGAGAGTGAGGCAGACAGAGAGAAGGATGCGTAGGCAGAGAGAGCAGAAATTTCGAGGAGAGTTTAGATGACAAAGTATTTGTTTTAGATGTTTTAACTATTTTAGTTAGGTATAATTTGTTGGCTGTTTTGTATTGGCCAGAGAAACTTACGATGAGCCCTCGGAGCTAGAGATCGAATGTATGCTGCCCGCACTGTAGCGGGTGACCGCTGGCACCGGCGGCACCTCCACAGACCGCTGGATGCTGCCCGCCGAGCCGCGCGACTGCCTTTGATAATATGGATGTGGTGGTGGTAGTGTGATATGATGGTGACTAGTGGAGGAGCCGCTCGCGCTCGAGCTGCCCAAATACTGAGCCTGATATTGGTCTGCCAAGAATATGATAGACAAACGTATATATATATATATACATAAATATATACATATATATGTATGTACATATATAGAGAGATTGGGAGAGTTCAGTATGAGTTCTATAGTACAATATGGTTGATGTATGAATGATATATGTTCTCGAAAACTCAAAGGTTCGAACTGAACAATGTTTTGCTGCCTCGCTTTTGTCCGTCTCTGAATGAAAGGACTTGTGTTTCGCGATGCTGGCCTCTACTCGATGCGCGATACACGTTACACGATACTCGACGCTGGGCTCTGGGAATATACATGTATATATAGATATATATGCATATATATACACTCATATATATATATGCGGATACAGCTATATGCATGTATATATATCCTGACTATACAGAAATTAGAGTACAGAGAGTGAAGCGAAACTGGAAATTAAGTCGAAATCATACTGGCAAAAATAAAAAACAAATAAACCAAATAGTAGCTCATATATATATATAGTA